GTATGATGATGCTGAGAGGTTTTACTCTTGGTAGTAGTTTGCATTATTGGGGTAAGAGGTGTATATGTTTTACATTTGTGTGTGAAGTCTGTTTCTGAGAAAGCCAGCCTCATAAATTTATTAGTGGTGGTGTTGTCTGGGCTTCCCTTGCTGTTGTTCTCACAGTTTTCCTGCAGTCACGTTTTTTTGTGATCCATCTTTAACATGAGTTGACAAACTTAGAAACACATGGATGGACTCTGTTTTCCTTGTAGACATGAAAAGTTAACTGACTTAAGCTAGACATTACAGCTATGTTGGTCTTTTAGGGAAACCTTGACCTGTGCAGATGGGCCCTGATGCTTTTACTATATATATTTTGTGGGTTTCTTGTGACTGCTGTTTTCCTTTGTGAGAGCCATCTTCATCTTTTTCAAATATAGGGATGTATTAATGGAGCCTTTGAATTCTATCTTCAGCCTTTCTTTAGCAATGTGCTTGGCTCCCTGTGTTTATGGTATGGGTCCAGGAGGGTACTAGCCAACCTCTGGAAATGATGATCATGGTAAATATTTTTTGAATTATGATAGAGGCAGACATAGAAAACCGCTTCAGAGTTTGACCTCTGTAAGTCTTTTCTCCTAGAAGTAAAATTATTTTCACTCTGAGAGAAAGGGCATTAGACCAAAGCTTCCTGACAACTTGAGTTCATTTTACATGCTCTCTAGAACCACTTTAGTTATTAATGTGATGCCTGAATACAGCTTAAGGCAGGTGGGACTCAAACTAACATTGTTTCCAAGAGACACAGAACATCAGGGGATGGATCTCAACGAAAGGTAACAGAGTGTAAAATCAATGTAGGAACTATCACTGATACTTATCTTATTTGGTACATCTCATCAAAAACTTACATTGAAGAGAATCTTTTCCCCTTTCATTGATTGCCCAAAGTGCTAGGAGAGTCTTGACTGTGGACACACATTGAGTTTGAACTTGTCTTACTTCCTGGATGTACTCCTGTTTGTAAATTCATACAAGTCCCTAAGCGATCTGTTTTTATCAATAGGACCTATGTTGTCCTTTTGAAGTGAAGAAGGCAAATCACTAACAGAAGTGGACTAGAATACTTGGGCTAACAAGATACTCCTTTTGTAAACCTGGACGTCTCTGGTCTTAACAACCTTTATAAGTTGCTGTGTCTTGTGGCCATGGTGTTAGCTTAGAAATTCACAGTCTCCTGTGCAACCAAGAAGTAACAGTCACTTTCCTAGCATTTGCTTTTTATCCATTTTATATGTTTTATTCATGAATTTTGATGATTGCTTTATATGAGAATGTATATACTAGGGGAATTTTAATTTATCCTAATAATCTACCTATTAGCCTAGAGTTTCGTTGTAAGAATTCTAAACTCAAAGTCTAGTCCAAATGGATCTGGCTCCAGGTCCGCTCACTTGGGGGTTGTTTTCCTCAGTGCTTGTCTTTAGCCAAACAGATAACATTGCTCTGGGAGCAGCCTGAAGAATAGACATAAAGGTGTAGTGAGCATTAAGTGCAGTGCATATTGATTTTTTTGCTACTGTGTTTAAGGTCAAAATTTCACAGGAACCTGCAAACATAGGAGTGAAAGTTTATAGGGGAGGTAGGGGATAGGAAAGTAGGATTAATCTGGTATGGTATTATGGCCTACCACAATGAAATGTTGTAAAAGGGAAACAAGCAACAAACTCACCACCAGTAGTAAAGTGCAGAGCTGAGCCATGGGGAGGAGGGAGGATGCTGTTGACAGTAAGACAGTATCACCATTGCTAATGTGTATGAAAGGGACTGTGTGTGGAGACTCAGGCCTGAGGGTTCCTGTATGGTTCATTCTGCCTATATCTAGCTTGGCAGACCAGAGGTGGTCACAGAAAATGGAAGGTTATATATTTTAAAGGCAACTCAAATCACAAAGCAGATGGTTAGTGGAGGATACAGAAGTTTACAAAGCTTATTAGGCCAAGGTGAAGCAGGGGTCTCTAGTCCCTTTGTAAGACTCTCTGGGGAAGACAGTTTGAATGCTTCTCTCGAGACTGTAAGTACTTATTTGTTTTTCTCTTACCTCCCTCCTCTTCTTTTAGTTGAATTTTCTATAGTGACAATCAGAGGTCTGCCAGGATGGGACTCCAGGCTGGTTCCAGCTCTGTCCTTAGGCCTCTCTCTAATACTCTCTCCTTGAAAGTAATGCACTTTGTTTAATGTATTTTGCTTTAAAAAAAAACAAAAACAAACAAACAAAAAAATCCAAGTGGCTTGTTTTGAACAAACTGAGATGCTTTTGGCATTGTATCCTTCCTGCTTGCTATTTTTTCTCTTAATTTAAAATTTTATGCATTGAAGACCAAGTATGCTTAAGGAGAAATATGCACTTAAAATACCTATTAAAATAACTCCCATCAAGTTTGATGGTTATAATTTTAAAGGATTAAAAGCAAAACAAAACTATTTTGAATGAATATATGTGTGCTTTTCTTTCTTTTTGGTAAATAAATTTATAGTAAATTTGTGATATGGCAGTTTTAAGTGGTTGTGAGAAAATTAAACAGGTATTAATCTGTCTTTAACTTTATTTGTGCCAACTTTATAGTAAGAAAGGTTTTTGGCTGAAGTACATTCTTCCAAACTCTTCCTAGTGGGGTCTCAGAGAGTCACTTCTGAAATGAGTAAGAGAGGTCCTTCCTACTTAAATGAAATTCTAGAAGCCCCTGTCTTTTCCTATCCCTTCTAGAGTTAGATACTTTTTGTGTTGTTTTAAAGTTACAAAGGTGATATAGGATAAGCAGCATCTCCTCTTTTGTTCTCTGTGAGCCTTAGAATCATCCACACCTAAAGGTATAGAGCAGTGTTTTCTCCCAAACTTCAGTTTTCAGCTTTGTCTTCAATTTTTCTTAAACTGTGTCTTCAAGTAACATAATCTTTTTTGTTTTATTATTATTATTAATTTTTTCTTATTTTACATATCGATCCCAGTTCCCCCTGCCTCCTTCCTTCCCTTCCTCTCTCCCTCCCTCCCTCCCATGCCCGCACCATCCTCCCATCCCATCTACCCCCCCACCCCCACTCCACAGGGAGTTTTTTGTTTTTTTAAGACAAGGTTTCCCTCTGTAGCCCTGGCTGTCCTGAAACTCACTCTGTAGAACTCAGAGATCCATCTGCCTCTCTGCCTCCCAAGTGCTGGGATTTAAAGGCTTGCAACCCAACACCTCACCCCCACCCCACACTCCCCTCCCCTGGTTGTAACTAATAGTCTTGTATACAGTCACAATGTCTTCTGCTTTAAGACAACTCTCTGGTTCTCCCTGAACATGAACTCTGGTAACTGTTAAGTGTTTTTAAATAAGATCCTTCTTGCACTTAAAGGCAATTTTAAGTTTGCCTTATCCATTTATTTTCTTAATGTTTTCCCCCATGGTCAATAAATTTATGGAGCATTTTCAACCTTTTAAGTTAAAATTCAGTTAAATTTATATTTGTTGTGTGCATAAATCTGTTGGACTCAAGAATGAATCAAGACTAGTTCTGCCTTCAGGAAGCTCATACTCAGAGGTAGGAGAGAGACATGGCTGTGTGATTATCAGTCTGAAAAGTATCAGTGGGTAGGACAGCTCACACAAGCAGATGCAAGCACAGTGGGGATGGGGAGGTCAGGTGGGCTCGAAGCTTGTGCATCAGCTCATTGGGCAGGAATAGGGAACAGCATCCGTACAGTTAGAATGTCGAATGAGTAGATTGTAAACGATTCCTGAATTGTAGAGTTAATATTCCTGCTAACCAGGAAATCTTTGGATAGTATTTATCCCTCTTTGATAATTAGAACTTCATGGGGAAATTCCTTTTGAGATGTTATTTGTTGTTCAAGAAATGCAGCTCAGTGTCAGTTGGACCTGTACCACCACATGTCTATTGACATGTAGCAGGAAAGTCGGTGCTCTGGGGCACCACCAATAGGAGTCTAGAGAGACACCAGAGAAGTCTAGGAGCTGGGGGGTAGTAACAGTGAAATGGGTGTCTGTCTGCATGCACACTGGTATGTTGGAGATCAGCAAATATCCATCTTTAGCATTTTTTAAAAAATGAAATCAGGCTGGGTGTGTTGGCATGTGCCTTCAGGCAGAGGTAGGCAGATCCTGGCCCACATAACAAGTTCCAGACCCTGTCTCAAAAAACAACAAAAATTCAATTTGTAGTTATAACTGATAAGCAAACAAAGCAGGGACATGTGCACATTGACTTTTCATTTAAACTCACTGTATTTTCCATAAAGTGGAAGTGGGTGGATTGAAGTAACCATTTAAATTACAAAGGTGACAAGGGTAGTGCCTAGCTACCCTGGGACAAGTTCCAGATTAGCCTGGGCAACTCAACAAGACCTTCATCTCAAGCAAATCGGGCTGTGGTGTCACAGGCCTGTAATCCCAGCACTTGCGATGTGCAGGCAGGGGAATCAGGAGTTCAAGGCCATCCTCATTTTACACATCCTTGTTTTAAGTTTAAGTTTGAGTACAGCCTGGGCTACAGAAAAGTCTGTTTCAAAACAACAAAAACCCCACAAAAAGACGACGACTCACCTTGGAGCTTTGGTTAGTGAATCGAGTCCTCTGGCTTTTGACCATGAAAATAGAACGAACACTCAATGTCTGGTGTGGCAAGAAGACTCCGCCTGAGACTGTCGTACTCAGCGCCCTGCTTTAGCATAATGTAGCTGCGGGTTATTGGGCGCCACTTAATGATGCTGAGGGCAAAATCCGTGAGTATGTGAAGTTTCCCGGTCATGAAATACTTAACCCTGCCTCTGACACTGCCCTCGCGGACTAGACAGAGCGCAGGGTTCTGCAGCTTCCCTTCCAAACATCCTGGCTCACCTGCGGTCTCCCTCGGCTCCACCCCCTAGCAGGCCGGAGCCCCGCCCCCAGGGAGGCGAAGCCCGCCTCACGCCTGGCCCGGACCAATCAAGCTGTGCGATCTCAGACGTCGGGTTACGCGCGGCGCGGAGGTGGCGGCGGTCCGAGGTACCGGCTCCCAGCTTCAGATCCCGGGCCGCGGCTGGGCTGCGCGGCCCGGGCTGCAGCGAGGCTGGGCGGCCCCTCGCGCCGTGCCGCCAGGCTGCCATGCAGGGCCCGGGAGGGAACGTGAGCCGGGCGCTGCCAGGCGCGCCGGCCTCCACGGTGGCGTCCGGGGCGGGCCGCTGTGAAAGCGGCGCGCTCATGCACAGCTTCGGCATCTTCCTGCAGGGGCTGCTCGGCGTCGTGGCCTTCAGCACACTGATGCGTGAGTCGGAGACCCCGGCCCTTTCTCGGCCCCTTGCCGGCTGCTGCTGGCGCAGCCCCACCCCTGAGACACTCCTGCCGGTAGAGTTCCGGCCTGGGGACCCGGCCCGGGGGCTGCGGTGCCTCCCGCTTCCACGAGACAGTCAGTGCTGGGCGTCCGCAGACTGCAAGGGAGTCCCGGTCCCTCACGCTCCTCGGTCTGTCGCTGCCGCTTTGGCCTCCGTAGACCTGTCTCTTTCCAGATGCCAGCCTAAAGCTGCCCGCCCCTCCCCTTGGCTCTTGGAACACACAGCCTTAGGTCCCTGCTAGTCTAACGCCCGGCTCCTCTCGGAGCCTTCACTCCTAGGGCTTGCCCTCTCTGTCGGGGTTGGAGTCCCTCACTCACACCCACCTGTGGTGTTCCGGCTGTGCAGTTCGGTTCCCCACATTACCTCGCGACCCCCAGCCCGATTCCCTCCCATTGTTCAGGAAAGATCCTCTCGGACTGCCTTGGTCCCCCGTGTCTCGTCCTTTTTCTCCTCCACCTGTTCAGCTCTACCCAAGCTTTGCTAATTAAGTTGTATCTGAAGTTTCCCCTGGCTGTTCTTCCCAAACCATGTTTGTTATTTACATTTTAAATTTACTCTTTTTGTGAAACTCTTACATCCTGGTTGGCTTGATGGAGGAGTCTTAGAGGGTCTGGGGAAGGTCTCAAAATCTCCATGCTAAGTTACCAGAGGCTCTTTGAGAGTTTGGTAGTAAAGAAAGAAGTCTCTTTTGGCTCTTGTTGTCTCGTGGAAGGTCCTTGAATACCTTTGGGTTGAGAGGTTGTGTTGTTTCCTTGATGGGCATCCTCCCTTTATTAAAGGATGGGGGCCTGTTGGCACATAGGCCTGGGAGTATCCCTGTAATATGTTAGACGGGAGTTGGAACTAAGGTGCACTGAGGCATTAATTCCAAAACTGATTCGTTCTCAAAACTGTGCTCCATGGACAGAATGGAGCAGCATCTGCTCTTCAGTTTTTTTTTGTTTTTTTTTTTTTTTTTTTTTGCGGGGGGGGGGTCTGTGGCTAAATGCAGGTGTGGGGTTAGCCTTGATTATTTGTAACAAGAGGTCTCTTTGAGCAAACTCTCCCAGGCTTTGATCAGCCCTGAAGAGCCTCTGATCCTGGCCACCATTTCTTTCTGTCTGCTTGGCCTTGAACAAGAGGTGCCCAACTACCCATGTGTTTGTCACTTTTTATTCTTCATCCCTATTTGCCTTGCCATTTTCTGCTGACCCTATGGCCCTTTGTTCCTGCAGTAATAGTTGGTGGCAACTTAGCCAGACTCTGTTGCCCACAGGTGCGTATACTGCTGTCTGTGTGCTTTCAAGACACTGTGAACAGGGATTCTTCCCCTTCTCACTTTTCTGTAATCACCATCCCTTTCTCAAGGAACTGTAGGTCTCTCTCTCTCTCTCTCTCTCTTTTTTTTTTTTTTATGCAAAACTGGAGATTTTGTAGTGTGGAGTAGCTGGCTGTTCTCTTGGTTTGATTGGTGATGTTGGTCTGGTATTGGCATGCCCCCTAGGGTTTCACACCTGTGAGTCAACGGGAAATATGATTAGGTTGGGGCAGTGTTGCTCACAGATGAGAACTGTGTTCCGGTGAAGGTGAGGTGTTTGACAGTACTGGCCCTGCCAGTCTTCAGGGACACTCTCACCTCTTTACTTAATCTTTGCTGTGAGTTTATGCCCAGATCCCATGTTGCTTGTACTTTCTGCGACTAACCCAGAAAGTAGATTCCGTGCAGGGGAAGGCTTGATTGGGAGAAGTTTATGAGAATGGCCAGCGGACCCTGGGACAGCCAGGGTTGGGGTGATATGGGAAGGCCATACCTAGGTCTATCTTGGACACAGGAAGCAGATGGAGCGAGCCCAGATTGTGGCGCGATCAGGAGATCCAACCCACTGCAACCCAGTTTGGGAAGTCCCTTTCATGGTACTTAGGTCTTGGTCCTGTTGAAATGTAATTATGGGGCTCTCTCACATTGAGTAGCTAGAAGAGGAAGAGATTCTTAAGGGGCTCCCTTAAACTTTGGACTAGATTTTTGCTGGGGAAACACATCTGCTGGCTGTTGGTCTACATCTGCCTTCCTGATCACAGAATCTGTCTGGCTGAACTGTCCAAGTCAAGGGCCAGCCTTCTGGGCCAGAGCCAGTGGAAGCCCTTGGGGTGTGGGGGGTGGGGTGAGGCCATCTTATTTCAACAATCCCATCTTTGCTACCCTCAGGCACATTTTAAGTGCCTTTCAGATTCTTCTGAACAATGTGAACTAAGAGTTTCTGTGCTCTTTCAGGTCTGCCCCCTTCCTGGTACTGTGTCCCTTAGGGCAGTAGAGTCAATGTCACACTTGGGTCCTATCCCAGTTCAGTTTTCTAGCTGGACCAGCTCTTGCTGTGGTGTGATAGACCCACTTCTCTGCCTGACAGACTGCGAAGTTTCCTCCCTTTACACTCCTGGTTTTAGTAGATCCTCAGACCTCTGTGTTTATTCTTTCATTTATGTGTAAAATCGTACCCTTATTGCTCTGTTTTCTTGTGAGGGTGGGCTTTTACTAGAGGAAGAATGTGGACATATCTTAATAGCACCTGGGGAAAATTTGGGTCCTCACAAGTATTTTCCCCCTGCTGCTCTGGTAGACATCTTGTATTATTTCTGGAAGTTGCAGACTGACTCAGACTATGTAGTTAAGGGCATCTATGTCAGGTCCTGTATGTCTCCTGTTCTGCATTCTGTATAAGCATGTAGACTGTTAGAGACCGCCAACTCTGGTATATTCATAGGCAGCATCACTTTGTGAATTAAGTAGGGGGGCTTCCCAGAGCTTTCAGCTAAGGAGCCCCTTGGGCAGGGAGTGTCCAGCAAACTCAAGCCAGATTATAAAGTTTCTAGCCGCTCCAAGAGTTTTTGGAGATGTTATGAAACCGACTGGGTACCTACATATCTACTTTAAGCAAGAGGCTTTGTCATGATCTGCATGTCAAACAGACCCTCTTGTTTGGTGTCTTTGTCTCAGAGCCTGTGACTCACTGAAATCACTTAGGCTGGAATTGCAGCACAGTGTAGCTGAACAGTTGTGGAGCTTGGCAAGTATTCCAGTGTAGGAAAGTCAGCTAGCTATCAGCCAAAGGTCGGTATGGCCTGAGTGTGTTAGCATTTGGGGGTGTGAGTGCTAAGGACTGTGAGTGCAGAACAGGCTCAAGCTTCCTTCCCATGCCCAGTCAGGGTTCTGAGCTGAAGTGTGGACAGAACTGGTTTTTAACAAAACAAGCATTTTGACAGCTTGGGTAAATCTGCCTGTGTGTTTTCACATCCACATATAGGGGTTCTAGAAAGCTGGTAGCAATGGACCCAGATTGTACCAACAGGGTACTGGCAATAAGAAGTGATAGTTCTCTTCCTGTGGCCCAAAGCAAAAGCACCAACCTTTCCACTCAGCTTTGGCATCTTAATCTCAGATAAGAGTATATGGTGTTTTACCCATGCAGGGCTGGCCTCCTTGTGTGCGCTCTGTACGTACCAAGTCGGTGCAATGTTTCTATATCCCACTACAGTTTTAGCTTTGAAAATGTCAGAAAAGCAAATGCCTGCTTGCTACCTAGTTTTTTAAGTTCACACTTTGTCAAGGCTTCTCTCTTACGATTTTTTTCCCTGAGCCATTTGAAGAAAAATTGCAATCATTACCACACTTCACCCCCGAATACTAGGACAATCCTCTGCGTAAAACCCGAGAGGATTAGTAATTCTATATCATTATCATCATCTGATAATCCACTGCATGTTCACATTTCCCCAAATGCCATATTTTTTTTTTTTTTTTTTTTTTTTTTTTTTTTTTTTGTAGCTGAAGTTTTAAACAGCTGACTCGCCAGAGCGCCATACATTGTGTTTGGTGCGGACTTTGCCGTTGCAGCGCTTAGAATGAACCATGATAGGCTAGTGCTCCAGCACTTGGCTGCACCTCCAGCCCCACTGCTTATGTACACACTCGAGTGCTTTCTAGTTTTTAAAGACATTGCCTTTGGAAGACTCCTGACTGGTAGCTATGTAAGGTGTCCACATTCCACAGGTCTCTGGATGTTTCACAGATCCCATATTTCCCCAATTTGAAGCAATTAAATTCATATGACTTTCTCATGTATGAACACTCTGTAAGAGGTTCTGTGTGTCACAGTTCTGTGAGGAGGCTGTAGCTTAGGTAAAGCTGGGCGTTGGTGGCGCACACCTTTAATGCCGGCACTTGGAAGGCAGAGGCAGGCAGATCTCTGAGTTGAGGCCAGCCTGGTCTAGGACAGCCAGAGTTAATATGGAGAGAGCCTGTCTCAAAACAACCCAAAATCTCAAGAAAGAGAAAGGCCAGCTACTTCTTGTTAGAAGTGGGAGGATTCCTCATTTCTCCCTTATAAAACTATCATTCTCACTATCATGCTTTGAGAATGAGTGGAAAACCTGTTCTTTGGTAACCTTTCCCCTAGAGGTTACTTCCTTATAAAGAAAGCAAGCAATACTTCGCTGGGAGCTGGAGCTGTAAGGCAGGAAAGGCAGCGAACTCAGGGCCCAGCACCCCAGCACATGCTCCTCTCCCCGTAGAAAGGAAAAGCATTTCTTTTTCTGGCCAGGTTATTGTGCCCACTAGGGAAAGTAGTGTGGCTGATGTTAGCATGCTAGTTAGATAGTTCAGGGCATTCATTTCAGAAGACTTGGCTTTCTGGGTGTTCATTTATTTTATAGCATTTGTTCAAATGGCATTCTACTACATTTGTAATAAAACTTTATTAATTTGGAGCTGTGTGAACTAGGACATAATCTGAATTGTAGAATAATTTCATCAAATGTATTTTTGTTGTTGTTGTTGTTGTTGTTCTGTTTTTTGAGACAGGTTTCTCTGTAGCTTTGAGGCCTGTCCCAGAACTCGTTCAATAAACCAGGCTGGCTTTGAACTCACAGAGAGATCCACCTGTTTGTGCCTCCTGAGTGT